ACGTATTTCATCAATTATTAACTGGCTTTCTTGCTTTATTTTAAAGCTTTATTTTAAAGTATTTTTGTCAGTATTTTTCATGTTCATACAAAAAAGAAAAACCTCGCCTTTTCAAAAAAAAAAAAAAAAATCTTGATGTCAGTAGTACATATAAGCTGAGCAAAACTTACAGGATCCCCCATCATTGTGTAGGTCTTTCCAGTACTTGTTTGTCCATATGCAAACACACAAGCATTGTAACCCTCAAAAGCTGCCTCCAAGATCTCTGTGCCCAAGTCTTGGAAAACCTAAAAGGAAAAGAAAAGAGGATTTGAGTCATGTAAAAGGGTTCGACTTTCACAACTACTAAAATAGAACAATGCTTGATCTAAATTTTCTTTTAGGAGAAAAAAGGTGAACCTGTGAAATGGATGGCATAACTAAAAGACATTAAAGGTTTCATTTACTCTCATGATAACAGTGTGTCACAAGAAATACTAAAAACAAAGCAGATACCAAAATTTTCATATGTTTAGTATGTAAAATAAAGGCTTCCGCGTTTTTCCAAAACAGAGCATTCCTCTGGTGCAGAAAGGCAATTGGCATTCATTTATATAAAAAATCTTTCACATTCACAAATCCCAAAAATAACCTTGCCTAAGATTTTTACAATACTGTAGAGAAATATAAAATTTGAACAGGGGCATGTAAGTTGTAAGTTCAGGGCCAGTTTTGATCAAGTGCCAACAACAAAAAAAAAAAAAAAAAAAAGGAAAAGAAAACTGTATGTTAGAAAAAAAAAAAAAAAAACAATTTCTTTTTTTCCATCACAGCCCTCAAGAAACATTGACTTTCAACATTAAAGGTAGACGTAGGAAATTTTTAGTGTATAGGAATGCTCAAAACATTTTCCCCCATTTATTAAATGTTGCTTTATTCCATTACAGATTAACGAAAGGGAAATTTTTTGGACAGAAAATTTTTATTATTTGACACTAAGCCATCTTCTGCTAAAATTATACAAAATGAGGTGAGGCAGGTGTTTAAAAAGAAAATATAAGGAGAGAGAGAGAGATGGGAATAGTAAGGGAGAGGAAGGGAGAGAGGAAGGGGGAGAGAGGAAGGAGAGAGAGGAAGGGAGAGAGAGGAAGGGAGAGAGAGAGGAAGGAGAGAGAGAGGGAGAGAGAGAGGAAGAGAGAGAGAGAGAGAGAGAGGGGAGAGAGAGAGAGAGGAAGGGAGAGAGAGAGGAAGGGAGAGAGAGAGGAAGGGGGAGAGAGAGAGGAAGGGGGGAGAGAGAAGGGGGAGAGAGAGAGGAAGGGGGAGAGAGAGAGGAAGGGGAGAGAGAGAGAGGAAGGGGAGAGAGAGGAAGGGGGGAGAGAGGAGGGGGGAGAGAGAGAGGAAGGGGGAGAGAGAGGAAGGGGGAGAGAGAGGAAGGGGAGAGAGAGAGGAAGGGGGAGAGAGAGAGAGGAAGGGGAGAGAGAGAGGAGGAGGGGAGAGGAAAGAGAGAAGAAAAAATATATAGAAATAAAAACTCAGAAAAAGTAAAAAGTAGTGAAGTAAGCTCCAAGCAACACTTTTCCTTAACAATCCACCCCTAAAGGAAATACACACTGGCAAACTGGAGGAAAAAGGAAAAGGCATGCTGGTTAAAGTTTATTCAGGAAAAGGGGTAGAAACAAACCTAAAGGTTGGGTTTGTTTAATGTATGATTCGAATGAAGGATATGGCTATAAGGATGAGTCACACTATATAATGACTTCCTTATACAGTAGTAACCTAAACTACAGTGACACATTAAGTGTTCCTCTGTGTGTGTGAACGCGTATATATATATATATATATATATATATATATATATATATATATATACACACACACAAGACAGAAATATTAGTAGTATACACACAGTATTTTGATAATATATGGAAACATAACAAGAAGGTGTGTTCACAATTAGAGAAAATTCTTTTTCATCACTGATATATTTACAAAATTATCATGTATAACAAACAATGGGGTAAGTATGCTTCAGGATTTATTAATCAAATCTACTGCCAAAAGAAATATTTTATATAAATTGTGCTTAAAAAATAATAAAAACACTGAAAACTGATGAGGTAAGACAAAGTCCCATCATGGATGAATTGGTACAGAATATGAATGTCCGTTATTTTCCAAAACAAGCTGGAAATATGTTTGAAGTGGGTGATGTAAATTTCTCAACCTGACCAAGAAACTCTATAATAAAAAAAAAATAAAAAAAAATTCTGGTTTGATTATTTGGTCAGATTTTTAGAAGTGGGTTATGCCAAGAACCTTTCAGTAAAATATCATTCATAACTAGAGCTTTAAGGTTATGTGTTTTTGATGACTTGCTACCATTAACGCCAATCCTATTTTTTTAAATACAAAATCAGAATGGGTTTCTTGTAGATCAATAACAGGTTAACTACACACACTATAAAATTTTCATTATTACGGCTTCCTATATGATTCTTTTGTCTTGTACAGCAATCCTTACAATTTCTCTTTATATTAACATACTCATTTATGACTTTCATAGTAAATAATTCAAATGAGTTATTTCTACAAGTTTCTGATTAGTCCAATCTGACAATTTCATATCACTTTGCTAGAGGACAGCTGTACAAATATTAGTAAGCCCCTAAAACTACCAACTTCTGACCACTAAAACAATACAAGTATCAATGAATCGATTCAGTTCTGCATCATAGTGTGTGTGTGTATATATATATATATATATATATATATATATATATGCACACACTAGGTATCTCCAAAGAAAAGCAATATCCAAGGTTTAAAATTATTTTTTCATAAATGAAAAATCTTTCTTGGAGCTTTTAGTTTTAATTTCAAGCTAATAATACAAAGTGGTCCGAAAGTCTTGTCACCCCTACATAGTATAATTTTCTATTTCAACATGAACAATACCAGAATACCTATCAGTTGAAAGATGCCATTTGGAGAACCTTTGCAACAATCAAGAAAGCACAGCTTTGTAAAATATCACACAAGATTCTTGTAAAAATTTATTATCATCAATTTTTTTTTTTTAAGACAATAGTCTTCATAAAAGTAATTAAAGGCTTTTCTTATTAAATAATGCCTTAGTTTTATTGCATTCTTTATTTTAAAATTCAGAGCTGATTTTTGCTAACTAAGTATCCTGTTTTATAAAAAGAAATATTAATGATTTAAATTTCCAATGACTTCTGCTTATAACTAATATAAATATTAAACACTACAAAAATGAATTTATTGAAATTTCATAAAATTAAATAAGTGGGGGTGGGTAACAGATATAAAAAAAATTATTTTCAATTTTTTCTAAAAAAAAAAAAAAAAAAAAAAAGATTTTAAAAATAATTTCATTCATTTGGAAATAAGTCCTGAACACTTCATTAAAAATCCAACAATTTGATTTTTAAAAGAATTTCCAAATCCATGTGTTCTTTACAGCAAAAAGAATCTAAAATTTCCTATACTAACTTATGGTCACCCACTGATACAAGAAAAAAATCTTTTCAAAGTTTTTATGGTTTTAAAAAATATGATAATCAAAAAATCCTTTGGTCTTTCCTCTTAATAATAACAATGATTTTGATGATAAAACTTTTAAGTTTGGGACATTTTTTTTCACCATGTTTTTGTTTTTACCTATCTTTGGAGGCGCCTATATAAAATTTTTTATTTTAAACATTATTATATTGAACACTTTGCATTCCAAGTGTCTACTATAACATTTGAAGTAATAAAAATGCCAGATTAAAAATAAATCCATTAATTCCTTGAAAATGTATTACTATATATATTAAATAAGAGGGAGAATGAAAAATTCTGCTTGATCCACTTCCCAAAATCTGACCAAAGTTTGTTTTGGTGGGGAGAGAAAGGTGTTCTTGGTTTGACTGAGAGCTTTTCTCTACACTCTCACAAAATGTGTGTGTGTGTGTGTGTGTGTGTGTGTGTTAAAAAGAAAATCTGTTTCATCAACTCTGAGATCATCATTAACTGTAGAAAGTTTAACAGCTGCTAACCATATGGTTTATATTTTTCGTCTTGCATCTCAGTAAAAAGAAAAGAAATTGCAAATTATAAAAAGGAGACTCAACAAAGAAAAGAGGAAACGTGTGCATCAATTCCAATGGTCATAAATCCTTCTTTTCTTTTTTATTTCCTTCCATAAAAAACTATAAAAGAGTAACATCATCTTTCAGATAAGTTCAACCATTGGAGAGAATTGATAATAAAATGCTATTTAATTGACAATTCAAATCTAACAATATAAGCATCTTCTGAATATATCATTTTGGAGATCAGTTTTTACAAGGCAGTGCTGAAAAGTTCTCATCCTGAACCAGAAAAGGATTCAAAGAGAAAAGTTCTCGTTTTACTATTTGGTCTAATTTTGGAAAGTTGGTTAGGCCAAGAACTTTTCAACATCATCTCATGTCTTGATAGTTTATTTATTGATGAAATTGATTCAATTACAAGCTTACCGAGTAATTTATGAATATACATTCTTCTGTCTTTGAAATTCAGGTTAAGCTAACCTTTTCACAGCACTACAGTCGAAGATCAGCTTTGTTGAGCAATTTCAGGCATTAAAAAAAAAAAAAAAGACCACAGTAAAGATAAGTAAATTTCTAGAAGGTGTTTGCAAATATAAGAGTCTCAAAGGACAGGAAATTGTGAAGGGCCATGATCGCCAACATCCTGAAGGAACATGGAACATAGAAGAAAAAAAAAAAAGTAAAGATAAGTAACTTTCTGAAAGGTGTTGGTAAATATAACATCAAGTTACTAGTTTATTCGTAGATTGTAAATACGCACCATGAAATTTCCAGTTATTATAAAATAATTGTAATAAGTTACATTACTAATAAAATGCTATTGTAACCACTATTTTATAATTTATAAAAAGGTCCTGGAGTAATGGCTAAATGACTAAGCATTTTATTTTCTGTATCATGCTTTCACAACAGAAGCTAGGCTTACAGCCACATCACATTGAAACACTAGCTCCCATATGGTCACTGAAGTTAAGCAACATCAAGCCTGGTCAGTACCTAGATGGGTGACCACTTGGGAAGTCCTACTAATTAACCTATAGCTGAGAGAGAAAAGTGGTGGAGTCATACCTTTCCCAAGAGTATTTGCACATAAGTGAATATAATGAACCTAATGGGAATTGGAACTTGATTTCCAATTCTGAGTCAAGCTTACAGCACCTGGTATTCCCAAGCAATTACCCATCTAGGTACTGACCAAGCTTGATGTTGCTTAACTTCAGTGATCATACTAGAAAAGGTGTTTCAGCATGATATGGCCATAAGCCAGAAATGATAAATGGAGTGAGAGAAAGAATAAAAAATTAAAAATAAAGAGAGGTAGAATAATAAATTAAGGAGAGAAAAAGAGAGTGAGATGATAACAAAGAGGAAGCATTATGGAGAAAGAGCAGCTAATTACATTCAGTAGTTAAAACAAATTTAATAAACGTAAGGTCAGCTGTTGTTCATTATTTTGAAGGGGGGTTGCCTTATCTTTGTTTAGGCATTCTTCTTTTCATTATGTACACATAATTAGCTCTGGTTTTAAGACTGGATGTGGAAGAATACTTTATTCCTTTAGCATCAAAAAAAGTCATTTATATATTACAGACAAAAAGTTTATACTTGTAAAATTATACCAAAGCTGAGAGAAAGCTTTTTAATATAAAAGTGCATTGAAATAGTAACATAATTTAAAGAGACATAGAATAAAAACTAATCTTCACACAAGAGAAAGAATTGTGCTTCATAAAGATCAATTGATCAATCGATCGATTGATTTGTTTTTCTATGGTTTATCAACCATAAGGTTATTTAAAGCCAAAAAGTATTTTGGTATTGTAAGATTTTTTTTTGAGATAATGATTTCCTGATACAAGTCCTACTATCTAACCCATAGGGGGGGAGAAGAAGGGGGATTTATACCTTTACCAAGGATAATGAACCTGGCTGGAATTGAAACTGCTTTCCGATTTCCAATTGCTAGCCGTTATCCATTATAACAAGCTTACAGTTCCTCATATTCCCAAGTGATCACACATCTAGATACTGACTAGGCTTAATGTTGCTTAATTTCAGTGTTCAGATGAGAACCTGTGCTTCAAGGTGATGTGGCCATAGGCCATATCTTTATAAAAAATAAAGATTAAATCAAACTAACCTAAAAAAGTGAGATCTCTCCAATTGAACTTTACTATTTTGATCAGTTTTCAGTGTAAACTAGAGAGGTTTAAGATACCAATTAGCAGATAAAGACTATAGCTTTATGATTACTAATTGTTCAGTTGCTCTCATTCAGTAGTTCTCAACTGTGGTCCATGAAATATTACTGGTGTCCATGGTAATATTTTAGTGGTCCACAAAACAATTTCACTTCAAAACAGTTGTTACAACTGAGAATTTGAATTTCTACAGTAATCTATGCCATATTAAAATAATGAAAACTAGCAGAAAATGAGATCAAGCAATACAAGTTTGCCACTCTTTCATTCTACTTTATGTTTTGATTGTAAAAGTTGAATAAAAACTGAGTAGGATATATAGTGTACATAAATAAATAATTCCATAGAATTTAGTTGCCAAATACAAGTTTATTTTCATTAAATTAGTTTTACTTCAAAATGAAGTAGATACATTTACTATTTCTATAATACAATTCCTAAAGTTATTAGTAAAAAATAAAAAACTTTTCTTTTTTTTTTTCATTGAATGATTATGGGAATCCACAGGTAAAAAAAAAAAAAAAAGGTTGAAATCTAGAGTCTAGTTGAACCATAGGTACCATCAGCTAGTGAAAAGATATATTTTCTGTCTTATACTCAGAGTATTTTGATGAAATTGTTCCAAGTAGACATAAAGGTATTTGAAGTGTTTAGTATTTACTAATTCCACATACTGGATTTTTATGAAGGATTCAGGATACACAACATCACTGCTTTCCATCCAATTTCAGATCATTTGTGTTTTGGAAAGATTTATCTTGAGTCCTACTTCTTTGAATATTTGGTAGGGGAACTGAATTTTTTTTTCAAGATCATTTTTGTTCCAACTATGAATACCTATGTCATCAGCATAGCTCCCTTATCCTCTAAAAACAATGACCTTGGGTAGGGAAGCAGGAATGTGGTTTTCTAGTAGTAGTAGTTTCAATTTGAGATACAATATGGAATTTTTAAATGATCAGTGCCTATCTCTTCAAATCTATGCTTGTATACACTCAAAGCATAATCTAGAAAGAGATTAAATAGATTGGAGCTCTCATTTCCTTTTCGTCATACTAGAGATGAGGTTTGGAATGTCCCAGTATTGGGGTCATCACCTGACATGTATGACAGTGGACTGATATAGTTCTTCTATGAAGTCTAAACATTCAGTGGATTCAGTCCTTGGAATGTGGCTTCTAATGGATGAGAAGAGGAAATCACTATTGATGTGGTCGTACACAGTTGCAAAGTCTACATAGCAGGTATACAATTTTTTATTAGAGAGGTAAGAAATTACCTGGAGTTGTTTGATGACATATATATATATATCATTTAAAATTTAACTAATTGAAGCTGACTTGCTTTATGTAAAAAGTAAGAAATATTTCATTTTTCAAAATTCACTGACCCATATATTAACTGTTTTGTGTATTTTATTCTCTCATTTAGACAACCTTATAATTACATTTTCCCAGAAGTTTTCATCTTCCCATGCAAAAAAAAAAAAAAAAAAAATATTCCGAAGACCTTTGTTTCGATATTCTTCAAAGAATTAAGGCTTTTTTGTGAAGTAAAAAAAAAGCAGGAAAAGTAGTAATCTGAATACACAGTATCTAGTAAATACAGCGGATGAGTGACTAATGTTATCTAGATGGAATATCATACCCCATCTCTGAATGAATTTTAAATACTTTTCATATATATTTTTAAATCATTACACCCCAAGCAAGACAATAAAACCACTGGGACACAAGGGGTTACTGAGTGTTAGAGAATGAGAAAAAAACTACTATTAAGGAGAGATGAAAATAAAAGAACAAGAATTAAGAAGACAGAAGATAGCAATTGACATTGATCTTCAAAAGTTTAAATTCAATGTTGACTTAGAAGCAAGAAGCCAGAAATGAGTTCCATAAGCAGGAAGTGCAAGAAGAAACTATTAGCATAGAACCTACAGTTACTTCAAGTAATTTCAACTGTAAAATGAGGAGACCTTGCCACCAATCTAGTCATGCATTTAAATTCATAAAGTCTAGATACTATAGCAGAAAGTTCATCAGAACAATTACCATGAAAGTATTTATAGAAAAGGAACATGGAAGCTACATTACAATAGTGGGAAAGGAATTGAAAGCAAGATGCCAGGTTAGGACCAATAACATGGATTTTATCAAGAATTTCTAAATATATAGCAGGAGCACCAGACCATATGCAGCAGCAGAAAACATTAGTCCAAGAAGGTGCAGTGAGTCACTCTCCTGGAGATTGTTAGGTACAGAGCAGTACTAATTCAAATAATAATTTGATCCTCCAGAAGGAGCTTATAGCAAAGAAATCACTTCCCTTCACTAATATATATATATATATATATATATAAAGACAGAAGGGAAACTTATCTTAGTTGATGCATTAATTTGCAATAAATATTTATAAACAAAAAGTCAAAATGTCATTAGCTTCTCAAAATTTTTAAGTTTAAGAATGCTCATAAATATACATCAGGCAAACCGAAATGTCTAGGTAAATTATGGAGGATACTAAGTGACATAATTTAATGTTTAATTAATAAATGCGAGTAAATAATAAGTAGAGTAATTAATATTTATATTATTTTAGTTTAGGATTAATTTATGTATTATACATTTTAAATAATGGGTTACAAATTTAACTTTTCATTTTTTAACATTTTATAATCATGTACATTGCTTTGAGTAAGGAGTACTTCTTTCAGGAACAGAGTCATCTGAAAAAAATCAGAGGCATAGATTTATATTTTTGTAAGATTCAATAGCAGCAATCTCAAGAATTTTCTGTCTAAGTAAGTTACTTTCTCTTTTAATAGGTAAGGCATTCTTTAAGTCAAAGAGAAAGTAACTTACTTAGATGGAAAATTCTTGAAAAGACTGAATGCAAAACTATAGAAAATCAATTGATAATAAAGGGGAGGAATCTGTGAAGACTAACAGCAGCTGCAACTAAAATGGATAGCACATCTAGCTTAAAGGGAAAATAATGACATAACATTCTGCACCACTTTAAATAGAAGGTTTGGAAGGAAACTCCATCAATACTGGAAGTGCAATAAGAGCTACTGGACTTGAAAAAGCTATTTTTCTTGAAAAGTGTTTCAAGAGAAAGATTTTATAAATTTCAATTAAAAACAGTACTGGGTGCTTGATCAATGAATGTCAAATGTTTTGTTGGAGGGAAATGGTTAATTTTACCATATGATTGTCCACATCTTGAAGGAATATATAACTTCAACATGACTGTGAAGCATCATTCAGTAAGAAATCTCTAGCATAAAACTACTTTTGACACATTCAGTCACTTGTGGGCTGGATTGATTGATTTTATGACATCTCATCTTGGTTGGGTTATTTAATATCAAAATAAATTTTCTTCAGGTGTCTATAAATCCAGGTAACTGTCAGTGAATTTTGAATGGAGCTCTTTATTTAATCCATGGAGGTAGACTGTTCACAATCCAATGTCCATGTCTAAGAATATCTTATTTTTATTTAATACTTCTCAGTTATTGTTTCCTATTTTCAATGAGGGGAAAGTGGGTGCTATCCATCCCATGACTTGAATTCACAATTACCATGTAACCAAATTTATGAATCATCACTTTAATCCACAAGCACTTTCATCCTGTGAGACAATCCTGAATATAGAACTCTGAGCCTTAAACCTAATGTTCATATCTGTTAAAAGTTATCCAAATCAACACCTGTTTGATAGATGATTTGCTTTGTTTGTTTTGTTTTTTATGGCTTATCAACCTTTTTGCAGGTAATTTAAATCTGAAACATATTTTAGATTGTAAGAATAATTCCATTTTTTTTTTTTTTGGCAAATGAATTTTTTGATAATTTTTCCAGATCCAAGTTCAACAATTTAACTGATAGCTTCAGGGAGGAAATGGATTTGTATCTTTGAGAGGTTTTGCACAGAAGTGAATGTGGTGAACCAGACTAGAATTCAAACATGGTTCTCTGATTTCTCATTCTGAGCTCCTAACCATTACAACACTGACACCTGAAGAAGGCCGAAGGGCACAATAACCAAAATATTGTAATAGTAACAAAGATAAAGATATTAGTCTGACTGTAAATGTAAATAATGATAATGCCACATTCCAGAAATTCTGACAAAAATTATACTGAAAACGTTTATTTTCCTCCATTTTAAATGTTTGATTCAAACAAATATGTCAGGTTTGACATTTTTTAAATACATACTGATATGAGTTATCTCAAAACAAATGTGATCTTGAATTAAATTTATCCTAAAGGAGTCTAACAAATTTACAGTTAATTTTTTGGTTAACTTAAACCTTATTTAGTTTTTGACTAGCAAGAGTTTTTTTTCTTATTCACTAATATTTCAAATTATTCATTCATACAATTTATGGTATCATTAACAAATATGTCAAAACTTCCATTTCCATAAGATGTAGAACACTGCAAATTCCAAACATTTGCAAAAAAAATAAAATTCCTGGTTCTATTTCAGCACCAACTGCATTTAAACTCAGCACATATCAGCAAGATTCTAATTTTTAATCAATGCCCACTAACAATACCACTACACCATCTTTCACCTACTTTGCTTTAACAATCTTCTCCATGGTGTTATGAAAATAACACTAAATTTTACAAAGTTTTCATAAGAGCTCCAGCACTCAATCTGTACTATTTTTTATTTTTTTTAAATCAATTCACCCAAAGCAAGTTGATAATGTCACTAAGATGCAAGGGGTTACTGGGAGTGAAAGAGAATTCAATATTTTTCTATGCAGGAAGGCCAGTGCTCATTGGTTGAAATGTATTAATCAAAACAGCTTTAAGGATAGAGTTTTTTTGTTTTGTTTTTTTTCAGTCAAGCTATCTCAGACATTCACGAATATCACA